TTTTAAAAAACAAATCCAGAAGATTGTTACATCAGGACACAAAATCAAAGTTCTGATTTGCACTGAACCTTGCTGAGCTACAATTTGGGTGAAAACCCTTTGTATTTCATTAGATAAATGGCATTTGTTATCAATAGCGGAACAATGGAATCAAGGTAAATAGCATGTTCATGCTGCAGTTTGAAAGGAAGGGACACTGTCACCATCCCTTTCAGGTTAAGAATGAAATGCAAAATTTTCTGCTTTCTACTAAGTGGTCTAGAGGGCTTTCAGCATATATAATTCCGCATCTCACTAAAAGTATTGAGATCTTCAGCGGCTCTTGATTAACAGGTATAACTTTTACTTTTAGCTCTGATAGTTCTTACATCAGCACAGGCTCGTTCAGCTGCTAGATTTTTCCAATGGATTTTCAACTTTACTTTATACTTTATTGCCATTCTGTTAATTGTTCTTTATTCTCCTACACGTGGAAATGTTCTTCTTTTTCCAGAAGATGATCTGTCATTCCCAATCCATACAATTCTTTTTTTTTCCCAGGAAAGAAGAATGCAGTTTATACAAGCACCAAAAATGGACTGTGGGTATTACAAAGACATTTCAGATATATCCTGTAGCTATAAAGACAATGGCCTGAACTTGGCTGTAAATTTCGTTGACATTTTTGCAAATAAGGATACCTGGAATAATTCATTCATTGGAATTTCAGTATCATAAGGAATTTAGAAACAGTATGCGCCACCATTTGGTGGTAAAATATACTCTATTTCTTGATTGTGGTGTAATGACAGGAGCTGTAATGTGGAAGAATAAAACTTTTTTGTTGTTTTGATTAAAGTGATTTTTTGATAGTATATTCAGTAATTAGGCTGTTTGAGATGAGTATGTTTTATTAGTATTAATTACAATATACACATTGTCAATAAACTTACAGAAGCTGCAAGAGACAAAACATCCTATGCTCCATCAGCACTATGTATAATGTCCTTGTGTTCTTCTCTGGACTTTGGCAAAGCAGAATCTGGCTGATATTGAGTATACTACTTTAAAGACATTAAAATACAAGATTCTGATTGGCACCTGCCTATACATGTTTTCCTGTTACTCAGTTGTTTCAGTTGTCCAGTTTTGATTTGCAGTTTTGTTGATATAATTGAACTTAGTTCTTGTTTTAAACTATAATTCTGTTGTGAAAAGACATACCAGGATTCATGACGTTACTAGAACCTTAATTTTATAACATCAGATTCTTTTTGTAATGCATGTTGTGCGTAAAGAGGCTCTGGCCTACTCTTGCCATAGCAACCACTTCTTTTGTTTTTACTAAAAGCAAAAGGAAAAAATGCTTGAAATTATAAAGCTTAATTATTAATTTTGGGAAAGTTATCCTTTGATTTACCATTGTTATGTCCTTCAGAAGGGAAAATGTTGATTAGAAAATCTCTTGCTGGTACCAAATTATGTATTACAACGTGTCTCTTAAACACTATTATGAGAAGGAAAAGATAGAAATTAAGGCCTCATTCTAAAAAAACCATTCATGGCTACAAAAGATTAATTACGTTTTTTGATTTATCCTTTAAGTTCCCACACTGGAATACCTGAAGTGTAGCCAGTTTTTATAGATATGTAGATTATTATGGCTTTTGCTCCTGCTGCGGAATTTCTTGTTAATGTCACCACCTGAGATATATTAAAAAGATGATTTCAAGGTTTTTGCTAGTGCGGAACCATCTAGACCTCAGCTTCTATAGTTTGAGTATTAGGCGATACATGCTGATCCTCCATCTCACCAAGTTCTCTCTTGTCTCTGCACCTCAGCTGTATTCCTGGCTACCCCGCATTTACCTCTTGTGTCATCTTTGCACCTCTTGCAGTTCCAGCAGACTTTCCCTTCCTTTCTTGGCACTCATAATGACATTTTTCCTTGATAGTAAGTCCAAAGGTACCGTCATTTTGTTTGTAGATGTCATCTCTAGACAGACTTGAACCAGAATTGTCAAGGCTGTCTGCATTCTGGCAGCGCTTCGTTTCCCCGTCTACATCTTTTCCATAGATGCTGTGTCTTTAGGCAGAACTATGTGTATATTTGCTTTCCTCTTGCTCTTAGTAATTGCTAATATCTAATAATTCATGTAATAATGATCTAAAGTGGGACTGGTTTTGCTCTGTAGTAATGACTTTTCGCCTTGCACTCACAGATAGACTTACAAAGCAAAATTCTTTTCCCATCTTGATTTGGATGTCTTATCAGCTGCTGCTACCATAAACACATGAAATTACTCTACGGATGTGAAATACCCAACTTCCTTCTTACAGTGCAAATGCTTTTTGGAGATGGAAATATCCATGTAATTTGGAGCATCAAAATAGCAGATCTGACAGAATAATAAAATACCAAATTAGGGAAGTCTTTCTCAGTCTCTAAGTAGTTTTTGTTCTCCCTATCTTGCCAGTTTGTGGAGTGAAATCAGGACTGAGATTCAGTGCTGAAAACTGTCCTCTAAAAAACCTGATTGTTTGCAATAGGAATCTTTCACTGTCTCACATTTTGAAATTTCTTTTGGCTGGAGTCCTACACTCACTTTTGTGATTTGAAGTTATATCAATGCACAGTAGGGTCCTACAATAATTATAATATCTATATATGTTATTATACTTCCTTATCTCATATATAAGAAAGGCAGTCTATTCTTATGGGAACAGAGGTTACATTGTTAAAAATATATTGGAAGCTGATGAATACCCAATATATTTTGAATGAATGAATAGGCTTCTGTTTTATGTAACGCTGAATTATCAGATTGACTTTGTGAGTTAATCTGCACAGGTTTTAAACATTTTCCAGAACAACTGGAATTTATCAACATATTTTTCATTAATCATGCCCCAAATTTATATTAATTAATATTTTTATCTATGTAGTGTTTATTTTATTTATACAATTGAAGCACAGATCTGGTTTCTTCATTTTTGCTGGCATTTAAATGTAGAGATGAAATATTTTCTGCTTATGTTAACAATATCAATAGATGTTAAGTAACTAAAAGAAAAGACATGCTAAAAAAGCTTAAACGTCACTGTAGAGTTGGTGGTGTCCTCCAAGATCAGTGCCTTCCCCCACTATCCCATAACTACCTGGGTAGGTATAGGTTTCCTCATCTATGTCAGAAAGGTGCTTGATAAATTGTGCATTTGGGACCCACCCAGGTATGGGATTTTGCCTTAATGGATCTGTTTCCAGGGGCTTAATATGTACTTCCCTTTGGCAGCGATGTGTAAATATGCAGTTCATGATATCTGTGTATCCGAATTTACTACATAAAAAGACTTAAAATTGACACATTTAAAAACATTTTTCTGTTAAATATCGATGTTAATAGAAATCCATGCTCCGTAAGTAATACCACAGATGGCTTAGGACTGCATTAATGAAAAATTACATAAACATTTAATTTCAAATGCAGTTTTATAGATCCTGGTGTGTCAAACCAGACTTCTTAGCACCTCTTCAGTATTACCAAGTTTTTTGGGTTATTTTTTTTTTTGCCTATCATTGGTTTGATTTTCATCTTACTCTATAGTAGTGCAAGCCAAGTTCAAATTCAGTGCCATTGAGTCACAGCAGTTCCAGTGATACAGAGTTCAATCACAGTCAGGCTCACGGACTACGTTTTAAAGCTGATAAGGTATGTTTCAACAGCGCAGAGAATACTTGTGTTGGAGATCATCAAAGTAGCTCTGAGCAAGTTAATATCCCTACTATACTGAAATACCCTGTGGAAATGTTATCCCAGGTCTTGAAAACCATATGCATACGTTAGCAAAGAGATGTGCTTGGGCTAATTAGCCTTGATTTTCAGCAGGGCCAGTTAGCTTGGCTGGCTTAGCTAGCACACAGCTAATGGAGCTGTGCTGCTTCGACTTCCACGGGCTTATTTTTGGTAGCTCAGGGACCTCTCCACCGAACACTGTGTTTTGTACAGATGTACTCTGAGGACCTGTGTTGTATGACGAGCCACGTTCCCAATCAACCTATTTAGAAGAGCTAACCCTGTTTTTGTTAATAATATCCCCTTTGTTCCAATATTAATCTATAGTATCCTTTTAATAGTACATTTAGTACATTTATGTTCTTTTAATATATATTAAACAGAGTGATTTGTAGGAACTTCTATAAAATTAATTTAAACATAATATTTAGCAAGTATTTAGGATCCTTTCATTACTGTATTTCATCTCCAGTTGCTTACTGGTAAAAAGGTACATTGTTGTTCTGCGGTCTTTTGTCACAGTCCTTGTTGAATCCTAAGATTAATATCAAGATAATTAGAACTACAGGATAAAGCTTTTTCTCCTATTGGTAAATCATTCTCCTCCCTGTTGTCGTTACCTTCTACTGAGAAAAATCATTGAAATGTTTCAAAAGTCATCTACACTGTGTATCGCACCTATGGGATATTCAAGTGTTTGCTGTGTACTCAAACCATTAAATCATATTACTCGACCTACATTGCAAATCTCTGGAGCTACCCACTAAATAAAATAGTATGTTTCCTTAGGAAGTAGAAAACATATGAGGTATCAAAGTATGTGTTATTAAAACCCAATTTCAATGTGAGTTCAGTTTTACAATGGGTTCAGCACTGCAGCTTGATTTGAAGAGGCAAGACAAATTTTTTTTGGTCTTAGTATGACCATGCATTTTTCCTTGATAAAAGCAGCAATGAGGAAACTGAAAATGGAGAGAATTGTATGAGGGCCAAGGAAACTCGTGACAAAAATAAATTTGGGAATAGGTTCCAAAGACTGATCAGGGAGGGTTGCATTTAAATTTCACTCTGTGCCCATTTTGGGGGTACCTGCATTTGACCTACTGTACAATGTTTGCTTTTACCAACATGATATTCAGTTATTACTGAACATGTCATGTAACTAATCTTGGTCTTTACATGAGACAAGAAAAAAGCCTAATGCTTCCTATGTCTCTCTCTATGTAGTTTTAAGCATTGGTGAAGGTGGATTCTGGGAAGGCAGCACCCGGGGACATATTGGATGGTTTCCTGCAGAATGCGTTGAAGAAGTTCAGTGTAAACCAAATGAAAGCAAACCAGGTAATCAGATCGTGTTCCTGTTGAATCTTAACAATGACCAATGTGAAGTGTCTGACCAAGCCAAGAGGCAGCCTAGATGGTAATGTGTTATACAGCAGTGCGTTTGTGCAATACTAGAAACTGGAAAATTAAATAAAGCTGAGCTGCTGAATTAAACAATAAAGATGGGTTTATTGATCAGGTTTTACTGGACGCTGTCCAAGCAAATGGTCTTTCTCATGAGGGACTTGGCTGTGAAGTACTGCAAAGGCTTTTAAACAGAACTCTATGCAGACATTTTGTAAACCGTTATGCTGCGTTTTATCTTCCTACGATATGGGAGAATGGATAATTAGACAATTAAATAATGGAAGAAAAACTGATCAGTCATCTCCCAATCTAAGGTACTCATACAATGTATTTAGCTTTTGTTCATAGCAATAAAGTTCCGACTGTTGACGTTTTACTAAATTTTAGAGGAGTCATCCATTAGTGGGATGTCCCACGTGCATCCTTACTGATGACAAAAGAAATAGAATCCTCCTTTATCATATGTTTGTATTGCCAGAAGTAAGTAGAACACAAGTGACTTTAAGCAAGGAGTCTTTACAGTTCTGTTACAATAAAAGACAAAGAAATGTACGTTAAAGGATGTTATTTTAAGAATTACCTACATCTCATAATTTCTCTGCTTTTAAGAATTAAGATATGAGGATATCCTCTCTAATTAAAAGCTTATTATAAATGAGCTCTGAGAATATAATTAATGTTCTCCAGAAGTGTATGGAGTTTTAAATTAATTATTGATGTGTTTTGGATCTCTGATGTATTGATTAAGAACTTTATGCATTGCACAGACAATACACTAAAAGTTATGCATTGTAGCATTCATTCACAAACATTATTCTTTCATGTATGTCATTATAAACTACATAGGTATACTTTTCTTTTTTTATATAAACACACTGTATAAACGTGATAGAATGGAATAGAATGCACTAGACAAGATAATAGTGCCAGACTAGTAAGGATTTGGAAATATTTATGGTATTTGATAAATATTTTAATTTTGTTGGTTATAATGGAAGCTGTGGTGAGATGAAATAGAGTTTAAGGGATGAGCAGAAGAGGAGGCGAAAAGTTAGCTTTTGTAATATAAAAACTTTAAAAGAATGAGGGAATGAGCCATCAGGGATACTGCTCTAGATAACTAAACACTGTGTGAAAAGGTTATACTTCCTTTTCTGTTTGCCTTATGAGAGAGAAAACGAGAAGGAAGCAAAACCAGATGTAATATTTGGAGAGAATGGATTTAGGCTCTGAGAACAACGAGAGAATAGTTGCGTAGCTCTGCAAAGGGCTTAAGAACAATTCTGAATTTAATGATGGACGAGTATTAAACAAGAGGAAGACAGAGGTTGGAACTGGCAACTCTAGGAGCAGAGCAGTTCTCAAATACTAGATGTAAAATGAGGATAACAAGTTGCAATTCTAGTGTGACTTAATTTGTTGGAAACATTATGGAAGACGAATAAATTCAATCAGTGTGCAACATGACCTGGTGAAGAGCCACGTGTGAACTGTTCTGAAGATCCTTCAATAAAACCTTGTGGTCACCTGATTGAAAGACTTCAGAAAGATGTTGCCTATATAAGTAAGTCATCACAAACGCCTTTCTTGAGTCTATCATGGCAACTCTGCATTAAATTTGAGCTGTGCATTTGTCTCCAAATCTGAAGAAAGTTCTGGGATAGGGGCATTAAGTGAAGTTCTAAAATATGAAGGGAATTTTGCATCTTCATTAGTGGTTTTGAAAAGAAGATAACCAAACCTGTTTGTCAGAAATCCTTAAAGATCTTTTCAAGAAATACTGTAGGAAGTAAATTCAGTATATGATGCGATTGCTTTAATATATGACAAGATTGATTTCTGAGCAAAAATTTCTTTGATCATTCAAAAGAAAATGAAAGCTAAGAAAAAAATTGTCACAAGAATAGCAAAAGGATTACCGAAGCTGGAAGTGTTAAAAGAATAGAAACAGAAACATATTACAAATTTTCTGACATGAAATTATGAAAACTTATGCCATGTGTCTGGAAAAATACCAGAGCATTTACTGTGATTTGTACCTATCGCATACTATTGTCTTTCTGATTATTTTCCTATTTGCATATAGTATAGTGTGAATAACAATGTTAGCGTGGCTAAAGACTTTAAATATACCATTCTTGTCCTCTAAAAAAGATGAAAATATAATTCAGTAAGCACAAAATGGGCATATTTTCTATACCTTTGAACTTGTGCACTCACATATTTTGCTGGGCTGTCTTGAAAAATGTTTTGCACCCAGAAAGCACAAATGGGGTACAGTGTTTCTCTAAGTAATGCGATAGAGGTTGGAGCGGTGAGTATGAAATACATTAAATCCACAGTATGTGCCATATTATTATTGAAATACGGTATGGACTGAAAGCAGCTGATCACTGAATTGCTCTATGCAGTTGGCTTCATTCCCTTTGCATAGGAAACAATGGAAATGAAAGAGGAGAGCTTTATAAGCAAAAATCAGGCAGTACTCCCTCTGAGTACAAATGCAAAAGTAATTTAGAAAAAATGTGTTAAGCATGGTGAAATGATTAGGAATTAAATTAAGTCTGCTGGGATCGCAGAACATCAGCTGAGAAACATCACAAACTTGTGCGAGTTGCAAGAATTTGCATCACAGACTTAGCAAAGCAGCAGAACTTCTTATGATAATGATTTAGAAAGTAGATCATTTTAATGTGTAGGAACTGAATCTCAAACTCAGCCTTTTCCAGACCAGCGCCACAGTAACAGTTCTTTCGTATAAATGAGGTTTAGGAGCATTTCTTCAAACAGCTTCCCTTTGCTGTTAAGTTTGAATGATTGTGTTTAATAGTAGCTTGTCATTTGTACGCCATGAATGAAAGAAAGAGGAATAGTTCTTGGAAAAAACAAACCACGATTAAACACTACATGCCCAATAAAACTGGTGGGCAGGTGTTTCATGTCACGCTGATTTATAACCTCGCTTCTCAGACAAGTTCTGTTTCCAGGGGACTTCATTGCCATCCCGACTGTTCTCTGGAAGCAGGCAGTGCAGAATAACACCTGGTTCCTGTGATCTCTTCAAAGATAGCATGCTAGCTTGGCAAGTTCCGTTTTCCAAAAAAAATCATGTTGACTGGCATTAATTCTATATCCCTTCTTTAGTCCTTCATTAATTGAGACTTGTAGGAACTATTCCATTATTTTGCTAGGATTGATGCCAGGCTATAGGCTTTTAATTATCCAGGTTGTCTCATTTGCCCATTGATAGCACTGGCACAGGACCCACTGCCTTTCAGTCTTAAGAAGTTTGCTTGACGTTTTGAGATCTAATGAGAAAAGAACAACAAAGAAATCCATTATCAGTTGCCTGCTAAGTTCTTTTGCCTGCTTTCAAAAAATTCTTAGATACAAAACCTTTGTACCATCTCATTTTAAAAAGTGTAACCTTAGTAGCCAGTTTTTAACATTCTCCAGAATTATTCTTAGAGTGAAAGTATTCTTTCAGATGAGATTGTTACAACATCTTGCTTTCTCCCTGTACAAACACAGAATATGTACGTATTTCTTCTTTCTGCGTTGACTGTTTTCCTATGTTATTCAGTAATGAACCAGTTCCATTCTTAAATTTCTTTGTATTCTTAGATATGTGAAAATATGTGATTATTTTTTTTGCTAAAATATTCTGGGCAGATTGAAGAAAATTCTGTGCAGAAGAAGCTTGAGTCGTATAAAATCCGAGTTAACTGAAACCTATGCAAATGTGAGGCACTACCTTGGGTTAAGAGACATCTTAACAGGATTTATTAGCTAAGTGCTGTTGGTGCTGCAGAGAATCACAGATTGATCTTCCGTCTCTCACAGTAGTTTGCATCCAGTGAGAATATACTATGGTGTGACATAGCTTTGTTTAATTTTTCTACCTATAAAAAAGTGCAAGGCTTTTCATTTTTTCTGTTTATTCTCCCCTTAAAATTCATTATCCTCCTTAAAATAGTAAGAATTCCTATCTAAAACCTTCCGATGGGAAATGAAGTACAGAAGAGTGTATCGTCCATAAAATCAGCTGCCCCACCAATGGAAGACACAGTTTTCTTTCTCCTGCTTAAGTTTAGACATTTCCTTTTGCTTTTCTTCTATCCATAGGGTATTACTCTGACTTGAGAGATGTACTACAAAAGTACTTTCTATTAGACTTGTGATTTTATACTCCACCTCCTTCAGAATTTAGAGAGAGAGATTATCTGATTGCTCATAACTGGGGTGAAGTATTCGTTTTAAAGCTAGAAGTTACCTTTAACTACATTCTGTCTTTACCATTTATTATTCCTTCCTCCCTAATGTGCCTGAAGAACTCTTAGATTTTACAAATGATATTGAGATGAAGGCAGACTTGGCATGTCTGTTAGTAATTCTTGCTGTCTTTCAACTCTTGGCCTCCTCAGTACATTTTTCCTTGCGTTCCATGCTCACCTTTAATATCGTCTTAGGGGTATTTTTTTGTTCAGTAGCGTCCTCCATACATTTTTGTATCCTATGGCTTTGGGATACACCTTACTAGTAGCTGTAGTTGCTATCGGAGCCCTGGCAGTTTATTTCACATGAGATCTAATCTGGGCATGTGGGTTGAACGACCATTAGCAGTTGTTCAAGAGCTCATTTCTCCATGAGAGAATCCAATTTGTAGACTCTGAGGTCTGCTCAGTCCTGTGGGCTGCAGCAGAGTGGGCAGCACTTACAAAGCCCATTCCTGGTCCAGACCAAGATGCTAATGTAGATGCGCCCATGCTGACCTCTAGTGTCACTGGTGCTCTGAGCAGACACTACGTAGCATCTAAATCAGGATTTCTCTTTCAAAATGCCTGTACTTAAACGTTTGGTACAGTTTACTCCTGAATTTCCAGCGAGTTGAAAATGTAATGACAGATTACCCAGTAATAGTATTGTTCCCTTGCCCATTTCTCTTTACGTATGTAATCATACACAGTTGTTATAAGCAGAAATTGCAGCATTCCTTATCCAACATTCCGT